GTACAAATAGATTAATTCTTATTTCATTCACTTGTGTTATATATTGTTCAAAATTTAGTGGGCCTCTAGTTGGGCCAATTGCTTGATGAAATGTAATGCATAAAATGAATTTTGCCCATGCGTGCGTACGAATGACTTGTCTCTGCAGAAACTAAGGCTAAAATGCTTTTACCATGGTACACATGGATTGCACTATGTGTACGCATTGGGTTAAAAACGAGTTGTTGGCTGGTTTTTCAACTTGAAATCTGGTATCCTTTTGGATGAAAAATTATCATTTTTCATCATATTTTGGCAAAATTTCGTGTAGTATTTGTTGAAATCTATAAATAGATTATTAATGATCAATACAATATATATTAAAAAACTACTTGAGATCAAATTCCGTTCCACAAGAAAGATCAATACATCTCTTCTTTCATATTTAAAATTTTGTTTTGTGTTCTTAAAGTCTTGAAAGAATTTCACTAGTGTTTATTCATTTTCAAAGCTCGATAAACCCTGCAAACTATTTGTCAAGAATCCGTTTAAGCATCAAATTCAATCCGACATGGGGCAAATATCGTTTGAGGACAACGATTACTTGTTTAAGCCTTTGAATTCTCTTTGAAGCTCTTGATTATATTCTTTTGTTTCTTCTCGTTTCCTCTTATTTGGAAATATTATTCCAACAATCTCAAACAATATCTTGTAATGGAGAATGAAACTACCATGGCAACGATCAAATTGATGAATCAAGATCTTGTTCGTCTAAATCGTTTTGATGAGACAAATTTTACAAAATGGCAAGACAAGTTGAAGTTTCTCCTAAAGGCGTTGAACATCTTCTACATTCTTGATCCCGAATTGGCACCACTTGCGGAACCAACTGATGAAGATACTGAAACTATAAGGACGGAAAGACAAAAGCGTTAAGAGGATAAACTCATATGCCGCGGTGATATTCTCAATGCGTTATCTGATCGATTGTATGATCTCTACGCAACAAATATAACATCGAAGAAGAAGGTACAAAGAAATTTCTTATATCAAGGTATTTTGATTTTAAATTCATTGAAAATATTCACTTTCTTTCCCAAATACATGAATTGCAAGTTCTTGTCAAAATTTGAAGGTGGTCAAAATTGAAAGGGAAAAGTGCAACAAGGGTCTCAAACCTTTGGATTTTTTGCAGACTTTACCTTAACCTTTAGTCGACATAATAATGCATCAATAATCTGCCCGGAGTACTATACATCTCTCAACTGATACAGGGGCCACAAGGGGAACTGATCATCCAGCAACTTCAACACAGTATTAAAACTATCAAAGTTACTGTTCTACGTACATTTTCCTGTCATCTATCTCAACTCTATAGCTAGATAATACTACATCTTACAAAAATTCAAATATTAGAATTTTCAACAAAAGATAACGGAATAATCATAATTTCAAAAAATTAAGCGAACTGAATAAGAGACAAAAATAAAAAAATAAATTAAAGAAAATAACAAAACATAGAAAATTAAGAATTGAAAAAAATTAATTATAATATGAAAAAAACAATTAAGAAATCTTAAAACTATTTTAAAAAAATTTATAACAAAAACAGAACAAATTGAACAATAAGAAATTATGAAAATTAAACT